AATTAATTTTACCACATGTGTGAGTATTCCTCTAAGCCCTCCAGGGCGTGTTCAGGATTTGTGAAGACTGTGTTGAAGATAGTAAGTTTCCCCCGTGCGCTTCCACTGACACCAGGTTGACGTGGAGTGCCTCGTTTTTCAGGAAACCATGAATTAATAATGCCAATAGGAGAGAGCTCTAATGTCTCTGGTCCAACCAGATTTTGTGATTGATTGCTGTTACTGGAACCACTGGTGTTTCCATACTCATGGTCTTGAATATTTTTCTGTTTGCAGCCTGGGCATCGCCAGCTTTGAAGTATTCTCTTCACTTCATCAACTTCTTTTTCATGAACATGGTTCAGTGAGCGTATTTGTTGTCTGAAAACAGATAACAAATAATCCCACAATGAATGAACATTAAAATATTGTCATAATTATGAAATACCAGACCAATAAAAATAACTCCAGCTTACCTTAAGTTGTTTATTTCATTCCTTGCAACAGTTAAGAGAGACCGTAAACTTCTTAATTCAGCTTCCATTCTAGAATTTAATTCTGCCTTGGGAGCAGCTTGGGAGCTTACAATTACCTATAATAACAGAAGCCTGTAACAAGCAGAAGGTTAAGGTTAAGGAGGGATTCGCTTTCTGAAAAAAATATTCTTGAGTTGACACTACAGATGTTTGTTGTCGGTGAGATTTGAAACATTAGAAACAAGTATAGATGTTAACTAAACATTTCTAAACCGTCTATTCTTGAACAACTTACCAGTGTATTTTGACAACCGGGGTTGGTCGCGCCAGGTTTTGCGAGACCGAATATGAAAAGCAATGTGAATGAGCAATGCTTCTCAGCTGGTCGACGATCCAATAAACAACATAACCTGGAAAACTCTGCAGCAGAAAGCAGAAGAAACCGCTGTGGACAAACAAGACTGCTGCTGCGTCAATCGGAACTGTCTGAACTTGACTTGATGTAGAGTCCCTTCAACGACATGTCGAAGTTTTGGAGATACTTTCTATTCCTAGCATGGATGTCATATTTGCTTGTTTGTGGTGTGCTTCTGTTCTCCCGAGGATTCCTGCTTCGGCGACAAGTCCAACCAGAAAAGTCAAGGTGTATCGGCAATGTTTATTGTTCTAACTTTTCACCTGAATCAAGTTCTCATGGCATCGAGGCAGATTGCCCCTCTGGACCAAACCCTTTGCAACATTTGGTGGGACAAGAAGACCTCTGCTCTCAAGGAAGGGCCAAAGTTGTTCTGGTTGTAATAGATGCATTGAAGTATGAATTCGCCTATTACCAGAATACGCAAGAGCCCAGAGCTTTTGAGAATAGACTCACCATTCTGAGAGACCTAATAGTAAAGCAGCCTGATAATACGAGGTTGTATAAGTTTATTGCTGATCCTCCAACTACCACTATGCAACGCCTCAAGGGACTGACAACTGGTAGCTTGCCCACATTTATTGATTTGGGGTCAAATTTCGCTTCTACAGAGATAAATGAAGATAACGTAATTGATCAGTTACGCAGTAAAGGGAAGAAAGCAGTTTTTATGGGGGATGATACGTGGATTGGGCTGTATCCCCATAGATTTGAGCGTCAGTACCCTTTCCCTTCATTTAATGTGTGGGACTTGGACACTGTTGATACCGGAATCAAGAAACATTTACAACCTGAATTAAAGAAGAATGATTGGGACCTATTGATTGCTCATTTTCTTGGTGTTGATCATTGTGGCCATCGCTATGGACCGTTTCATCCAGAAATGTCCCGCAAGCTTGATGAAATGAACACAGTTATCAGGTAAGCATTCATACGGTATAATTAAGAAGGAATGATTTGTTGTTGTTGTTATTGTTGTTATGGTTTATGAATACGCCCCTTTTCTCTTCCCATACAGTGACATTGTGAAAAATATGGATAATGACACAGTTTTGGTTGTTCTTGGTGATCATGGCATGACCAATACAGGTAAATGTGAGGCTACTGATTTATTTTAATTGTATCATTATCTTCAATCTTGCTTTATTCTACTTTTTTTTTACTTTTTAGGTGATCATGGTGGTGAAAGTGAGGCAGAGGTCACTGCTGCATTGTTTGTTTATTCTCCCTTAGGCCTTTTGCCACAAAGTTGGTCTCCCAAGGGAGGCACAGTACGTCAGGTTGATTTAGTCCCAACCCTTGCTATGACCCTTGGTATTCCCATTCCATTTTCAAATTTAGGGTCAGTAATAGTTGATTCATTGCCAAAAACAGTGGCGCTCAAGCATTCAGGAAGTTCTTTGCAGAGTTGGCAGTTTGCATTACTAAGTTTGTGGTCTAATGTAAAGCAAGCTATGACTTATATTGAAACATATTCTAGCCGCAATAATGAGTTTACTTCTGATAAGCTTCATTCCTTAAGGAAAATGTTTAGTAGTTTTAGCGAAAAAGTAAAGAACGTTGTGAATCAGGAAGAGTTTATGGCCATTGCAGAGGAAGGTACTGAGTTCCTCACTTCATTACGGGTCCTGTGTGAGAAAGTCTGGGTCCAATTTGATACTTATAGCATGACATGGGGCCTAATTTTTACATTTGTTGTCATAATGGCTATTTTCTTAGTCATTGAAGCTCTGCAAGGTGATGAAATATCATTTTCAGTTTCTGGGTCTTGTCTTGCATTTGCTTATTTTGGCCTTGTTTTATGTGCATCAGTTAGCTTTGTGTTGGGGCATTTAGACATTATTCAGAATAGTGAGTTGGTCTTTTTTATCTCTACATTTGGCTCCTCATTTATATTTTTAGCAATAGTTTTAGCTGCAAATGCTGGTGCAATCCTTTCTAAATGGGGAAGTATTCCCAAAAGTAAACCTTGGCTTGAAACATTTTGGCGAACTGTTTGTGTGTTATCTCTATGGGCTATGGCATCTAACAGCTATGTCATGACAGAAGGAAAAATTCTATCTTTCTTTCTATTATCACTGATTGCAACAATGGTTTACTGCTATAATGTTCCATTGGATGAATTATCAGGAGTTGTGAAAAATAAGATAGGCAAGTCTCGATTGGCTTGGCTTAGATCCCAGATCCATCCTATGCGTCTTAGAATCTTAGTTGTTGCATTAGTTCTTGCTGTTTTGGTAAGAGCCACCCATCAGTTTTGGAAGTGCAGAGATGAAGAAGCTGCTTGTAACAATCAAGCATCAAACCAACCATCAGAACCAAAAAGGAAAGATCTTGGTGCTGACCCCAATTGCCTGATCATGCTCATTTGTATGGCTCTGTGGGTCACTTTTACCCGAATGTGGCTCAGAAGTTGTGGGAATTTGACAGGATACTCTATCACTGTTCTTTTTGCCCGCTACACACCAACGGTTATGGCAGTTTGCTCTGGTGGCTTTTGGGTTCTGCAAGGTTTGTATTTTAAAACACAATCACATTTTGTGTTTTAAAACAACTCTCTTTACCATCAACATCATGAGGTAATCTTGAAATTATATTTTTGCAGAACTTCCAGGAGATACCCGCAGCCGCTTGTTCAAACCTTGGCAGCTTCAGATTTTACCATGGACTGTTTACACTCTGTCTGGAATTTCACTTGCAAGTCTTATTTTGCGCCCACTCTGTGTCTTTGTGGTCAAATCTCGGAATCAATCCACAACATTTTCTGTCACACGCACTGAAAACCCTATTCCTCAGTTATATAATCAGGTTTGTTAACTCCAAGTTTACTTAAGGTTCTTCAAGTTTATTCTGCTTTGATTTCTGTTCCACTTTGTAAATTACTTTCCTCTTTTTCTTTAATAGATGAAGCAGATGATTAGTGGGAAAAAGGAAAACTTGAACCAAACTGAAACATCTGATGGCACGGAGAATAGCAGTCCTGTGGTTTATGGACTTGCCACTGTCTACAGTGCTTCATTTACTGTACTGGCTGTAATATTGGTGCCAGTTATGGGTCTCCTTCTAGGAGCCCGCTGGTCGCCCGCTCTTGTTCTCTGTGCCTGTGCTGCAACATGTCTGCTTCTTTTCATATCCATGTTACGATTTGAAAATATTATTGTCTCAGGTTGGGATTGTGTTCCCTTAAGTACTGAAGTAATACTGTAATGTGAGTACTGTGTTGATGAAACTGCCTGTTGTATTTCTAGTTCAACTTCTTTCTACATCGTGGCCTGCTGTTGTGTGCTGGTCCCTTCTGGCTCAGTATGCCTTTTACGGCACTGGGCATCAGGCAACATTTCCTAGTATTCAATGGGATGCTGCCATGGTAGGCACAAGTGGGAATATTGCAAGCAGCAGGTTTGTGCCTGGATTACTGATTATTGTTAATACATTCTGCTCCCATATTTTGATGGTAAGTGTCTTCACCATGAACTCATTGAATCATCATCTTTCTCACAACTCTGTATATTTGCTGCAATTTTCTGTCTCATGTTCTCAGGGACTCCTTTTACCATTGCTCTTGATTGCACCTCTTACTCTGAGAGTAATTCGCCCACAGTGGGTTTATGTGGCAGTGGGTGATCAAGACTTATCTCAGGGTGAACTGATGTTGTATCAAAGAGAAGATTTGGTATATCGTTCTCTTACTACTCTTACTGCAAGATATATATTCCTTCAAGCAGTTCGTGTGAGTATTATGTTGAATTATTTTTCTTCATTGTTTTTTTTTACATCTGTGTTTATTATGTGATAATTTTTTAATATCTTTCACAGAGCTTTGCAGCCATGTTTTGTGCAACAATCCATGCCCGTCACCTAATGGTTTGGGCAATATTTGCCCCCAAATTTATTTTTGAAGCAGTATCTCTCTTTGTAACTCTTCCCTGTGTTCTGTTTTCCTTTGTTTTTGTTGGGAGGATTACAGCTAGTGTTGAGTCTCTTGTTAACTCTCTTGATCCAAGTAATGCAAAACCAAGTAAATCTTCTGATAAGAAAAGATAATGTTTACTTGAGATTAGTGGGTATTAAATATGTCCCTTAGTCCAACGTTAAATCCTCTGTGGTCTGAATTCAACTTGTTTTCTATCTAGTATTTTGAATGTTGTGAAAAATGTGGCCTACTTACTAGTCATAAGGACAAAAAGTTGAAGAAGCTACAGGTTGTGCATTTATATGCAGTAGGTTTTTTAAAAGTTCTTTTTTGTTGAGTTTTTGCGTAGTGTCCATTTTTGTTTGATGCATGATATATTAGCTACTAAGGCATCATTATATTTTTCTTATTTTCCAAAGGAATGAATTTTATTTAGTTGTATCTGTGTTGTGTTCATTGTCATATTGTGTTCAGTATTAGGGAGGCATGTTGAGTCTTTCATTGTTTACAATAAGTGGACTGAGATGAAGCTATCTGTGTTCTAGTCAACCATATGTGCATTTCTTTCTGATTTCCAAGGGCACAATTAAGAAAGTCAACTGACTGATGTTTTGTCTTCAAAATCATATTGTATTTCTTTCTGTTAGCACAATAGCTTTGAACAATTTTTGTTTATGGAGAGGATGAAGCTCATTACAGTATTTAGAAGCAATACATATTAAACAAAATTGAATTTGTAACAATGGTGTAACTACTCTTTCTGTCTATCCATTTTGTGTTTTGATTTTGTTTCTGTTATATTACAATTAAATGTACTGATAATTGAAAGGTAAATTAACGTTTTGCAGCACAGACATTCTATCAAATGTTGTTTGTCTTTTTCTCACTGAGAGTGATGTCACTTGCTTTACCTCTCAATATTTGACTGAAAAATGTTACCTCAAGGAAACTCTGCCAATATTTCTGTGGGATGTAAGCTGTAGAGTTGCGCTGCAAAGGATTTAGGGACATTCCTGCATGAAAGGCATTGTTTGTTTAAATTTCAACAAACCTAAGATGCAGGATTGCCTCTTTTACCTTTCCTCCAGGATACGAATTGAGAAGCCACGCAGTTTACTGCTGATAAAAGTTGAAAAGAAAAAAACGTATTAAAGGTTTTTAAAAGAAAAGCTGTAGTTTGGTCTTAATTCCTGTGAGATTTATTTTCATATTGCACTGTGTACATTAGGGGGCTTTCAGAAACCAAATCAGGGATACTTGTTGACTAGATTCACACTCTTGCACCCTCACTTAAAGGATGGCCTGCACTTGACACTAATTTGTAAATAGCAACAGGAAAACAATAAAATCTCAGTTAATTCCACCAGTACGGCTGACGGTTGTGATGGTGGTGACGCAGCTGGTACAGGAGGGCGGCTTCAGAAGGATTCTGGAAAACACAAAGGAGAAAGAAATTGTCAACAATAAATAAATCATCTCATTTGGTCTATGTGAGATAGGCCTGCAAGTGTGTGATTTGTCATAATTACCTGTGAGCTTAACTTCCCTTGCTGCACCGCTGGTTGAATTTGTTGCTGTTGCTGGGTGGGACCGAACGGTGATCCTTGCTGCTCCTGTCCCTGTCCTTGGTAGTAGGCGGCCGGCTTGTAGCTCCTGCGCGCTATGGGACTCGGAGTGGACTTGGCAGCCAGGATCTGGAGGACATTATCATAGGATGTGATAAATAGAAAGAAAATAAGTAAAGGGGAAGGAGTGGGACGGGGAGGGG